TATAAAATAAAACAATATATTAGTAATACCTGTATACTGCTTAATAGTTGTAAAATTGTAATTGGTTTGGGTATGGAGTTATTTAAAATCCTAGTCAAAATGTAAATGTTATACAACATGTATGTCTAATGTAGACATCAAGTGTAACGCATGGCTCTCTCTCTTCCCCTCCTTCCAATCTGGTTTGCTGTGCAAGGTTGTTGTGAGGATACAAGGGTGAGGGGTAAATGGCCCCTTCAGTTCCTTGGAGGAAATGCAGATGAAAAACCACACCAGCGGCTCCAGTGAGGCACATGAGTAGTGGGTAACGGTGATGTTTGGGGCTGATGCAGAAGGGGTGGCCATCCTCTTGGTCTCTTTCCCAGAGGGCCTCCACTGGATAGGCCCTTTCCTATCCATGGCTCCACAATGCCTCACTGGAATAGGCTTTGTTGTTGTTCTTTCCTCACTCTCATGCTGGTGGAGGGGTGCAGTGCCTTTTTCAGACCAATGGCCCCATACCTTTCTGGGGCTGAATTCCTCTTGCGCACAGAGGCAAAGGCCAAAAACCAAAAAGGAAAATAAAATACCAGTATATTATAGCTTAAAGTTCTTTCTACTAGTAAGTAAGCCTAAGGGGAGGCATTTTAACCTTTGAGCATGGGGAAAATCTGCTTGGATGCTGGGAAACCACAAAAATATTGATCTCTTGGAGGATGTGGTGTGGCCAAGGGATGGGGGCCACACTGAGCCCTGGGGCCAAAGGGTTTGCACAGCGAAGGGTTAAAGCCAAGCAGATGCCTAGAGGTCTATGGTTGGCAGTCCCTTCACTGTGGGCTCCAGCACTGGTGATGCTTCTTGTCCACACCCAAGCAAGGGAAGCTGCTTGTTCCAGTCCCAGCTGAGCATTGTTAGACTGATGGCCTCTCCAGACACAAAGCTTTTTCTCCTAAGTCCCAGCAGTCATTGCCCCTTGGTTCCATGTGACCAACATGAATTCAGTTGCAAGCAGCTTGAAAACTTGGTAATACCTCTTGTCTAGTCACCTGTAAGAATTGCCTGTAGGTGAGCAGACCAGGAAAAGTCACAAAAATAGACTTTAAGGTCGTAGATGCTTAAGACGAGTATGTATTATGGGTTAGTAACTTGCCTGAGCTTATTTGTAAGGCTGTTACTTAGAGGTCCTAGCTCTGACTTTTCCTATATTACGCTATGTTCTACCTCTCCATCTCAGACCTTTCTTGTTTCTCTGGTTTGTTTTGCTTTGCATTCTGCTTTTGCTGAATTCCAGTTTAGTTGGGATTATTTCTATTTTTTCCAGAACTGGAGCATGTGCAGTTTGTCACAGATTTAAGTTCATTATATATAAAATATATAACTGATAAAAATCAGAGGGTGGATATAAACAATAATCCAATAATAAAACATAGTTGATAACTAAAATAAAAACCATACAGTTAAAATGGTAGCGACAAATTTAAAAGCTGACTCAGCAGATTCACCCTTCAAAATAAGAGTGCAACAAAAAGGTCTTCAGCTGGTGCCTGAAAGAGTGCAGTGTTGATGCCAACCTGACTTCTTGCGGAATCAAATTCCACAACTGGGGTGTGATGGAAGGGAATGCCGTCTTCTTGCCAAGTCCCCCTCACTTCACTTGGGGGAGGAAAGCAGGGGAGGCCTCGGATGTTGGCCGCAGTGATCGGAAAGGGATACAAGGAGAAAGGCACTCCCTCAGGTAGCCCGGCCCCAAGCCCTTTAGGGCCTTCCATGTCCTTTTAAGCTCTTTCAATTGGGCCCAGACAGCAACTGGCAGCAATGCAACCTGTATAGGATCCATATGATGTGCCAGTCATAGTTAGCAGGTGCGCTGCTCGATTTTGAACAAGTTGCAATGTCTGGACTATCTGCAAAGGCAGCCCCATGTTGAGCCCATTGCAGTAATCTAAGCAAGAGGTTAGCAGCGTGTGGATAACTGTGACAAGACTCTGCTCATCCAAGTAAGGGCACAGCTGATAAATCAGCCAAAGCTGCTAAAAACGCTCCTAGGTACTGCATCCACCTGAGTGACTGGTGGCAACTCAGGATCCAGGAGCACTCCAAGGCTGCGGACCCTGTCCTTTAGGGGGAGCCCGCCCCTGTGGGGGACAGGATGAACACTCCCCAGTTGAACACGCGTGCACTGACAGAATAACGCAGAAATCTAGTACATGCAACTGCATCAAGATTCGCGCTTTCTGATGTTTTTCTTTTGCATACCTCTTGCACAGAAAGCACCACATAAGAAGTATCTTAATACAACCCTAGGTACATTGTGACTATCAGCTCTGAAAAAGGGATGGGGCCCCATAGTAGAACATGTACTTCATATGCAAAAAGGAGGCCTCAGGTTTGATCCCTGACATTTCCTACACAGGATTGGGAAAAACTGCTGATGGCAAATCTGGACAGTGCTGCCAGTCAGTGTTCACTGAACTAGATGGTCTAGAGCAGGGGTCTCAAACTCGCAGCCCGCGGGCCAATTGCCGGGACGGGCAGGGCACGGGAGAGGGCCCTGCGGCCTTCAAAGCGCCGGCAGCACCCAGGCCGGCCGTGGGATGAGCGGCCCACCCCCAGCGCGGTGGTGGAATACTTGATGCGGCCCAGCCGCACCCAGACTCTACTTCCAGCGGCCCCCGGGTAAGTTGAGTTTGAGACCCCTGGTCTAGAGGCCTGACACAATCGCGTAGGGCTGGTTTCTTTCTTTCCTTCTCCTATTCCGCTGCTTAAATTCTCCAGCAGTAGTTTCCCCCATCCATTCCCTTTAAAAGAAGGCATATGCAAGGAGAACTCCCCCCAATATTTTACAGTAGAATCACACTTCCAGAAGTATCCAGGCTGCATGATTTTTCTTTAAAACAAGGCATGCTCTCTTTCTGCTCCTTATTTTAAAGGCAAATCGACATTTTCCCCTACAGTGTTGCCAAATCTCTGTCAAATTCAGTGGCTTGGCAGGGTAGTCCCTGCCCAGAAAGGGTAGGAAATTGGCCGTCAGACCCCTGGATATCTACCTGCTCCTGCGCTTGATGCTTTTTTCAGCATTCTATTGGTGAACATGGACATCATGGAAACAATACTCGCGAAAAGAATGCAAATACAGTCGTGAAAGCGATTGCACCAGGATTGCTGTTCTGCAGCGTCTGTTCATTGTTAAAGGCAGAGCTGCCAAGAGGAGGCCAAGGCACGGTGTGCAAATGGAAGCTGTGACGGGATGCCACGTGCCGGTTTTCTTCAAATTAGCACCCTACAGGAGTCAGCATGGGAGCTGTAGTTTAAAAGGCCTGGAAAGTATCACCCAGAATGCTTTATGCAAAATTTGGAAATACAAAACTTGAGCAACAGAGGCTTCCTATTCTCAATTTGGAAGCAAGGGAAGGGAATTTGGAACTCTAAAATGCTGGCAAGGGATGCTGGTAGAGAGCATCTGTGATGTATACCTCATACTTTAAAAAGAAGCCGCAGCAAACCAAATTAGCATTCTGTACCAAAAGTGTACCCAACTCTAGAGCCAAGGATAGCTGAATTTTTATGGTCTGTATAAAAGATGCCACTGGAGACAACTTGAATAGTTTGCATAAATTATTCTGATCCCACCAGCCATGGAGAATGGCAAAGAGCTCTGCAAACCACCAAACTCCCTGCCCCTTGACCTGTAGATTTTTCAGCTCAGTCCCTCTTTTAACCTCTGAGATTCTCCAGCATTGACTGCAAACTGTACCCTGAGATTATTTTTGCATGTCTTCAGTGTTTTAAAATGTGTGTGATGGTGTTTCTTTTGCGTGCCTTCTAAAGAAAGCAAAAATTCTCCATATATTGAATACTGGGTGGCTGGCTTAAATGTTGGGAGTTCTGCAGTGCGATCATGCCCTGCTTGCAGCCCAGTGGCTGGTTCCTTGTGCAGGGCATTGAGCTATGAATGGCTTCCTTTTGGAAGTAATTATCTAATCAGTTTGACACTAAGGGGAAATCGATTATTGTCCTCTGGTGCTATTGACTGAGCTTTGGCAGATGACTTGTAGCCTTTCAGGAAATTGGGGGACGGTAGAGCCATTGATCGGGGCCTCAGCGGGGATGAATCCAGACGTATGACTGAACCCCCCCACCCCACAATGCGCAACTTGGGAGAGTGGAGGAAAAAGGGACCCCCAACCCTATTCCTAGCTTTATTATCCATGCCGCCTGCAAGAGGTAAGATGGACAGTTGAGCAGAAAGCTCCGTCTCGCTGCAGTGAGCCATAGGTGAGGCATCCCTGCCCATGAGACTGCAAGGCAGAGAGGACACCTCTTGATTGTGGTCGATGGGGGAAATGGTGTGGCTGAGCTGGGCGCACCAGGGGTCCTGGGGCAGGGAAACGTGGCCTATGGGACTCCTGCCACAGGGAGAGGCTCCCTAGTACTTTCATGCATGTTGTCCTCTGCTTTCATGGTTCCAAGCCAAGAAATTTGTGTGTCTCTGTGTGTGCTCCATTTATACACTGCCTTATTCCATGAATTCTGTCACAGAATAGGTAATAAAATGGGTAATGGATTGAGTAAGTGGTCTGGCTCTGTTGTATTAAGTATCTTAAGAGAAGCTTATGTACAATTGTGTCTGTCAGCTCTGGAAAATGCAGAGTTTCTTGTTTCTGTTGCTTTATATCCCACCTTTCTTCTAAGGATGCCCAGGGTATGGATCCAGCCCCTTTCATCCTTGCAGCCACCCTGTGCGGTAGGCTAGGCTGAGAGGGTGTGGATGGCTCGGAGTCAACCGGTGAACTTCATGGCTGAGCCGGGGATTGAACCTGGAACTCAGTGGTCCCCCTTCAACATGGTCTTAATTCCTATTCTGCTTATTTATGAATTAGATTTATTTTGTACCAGAAGCGGTCCTTCCTTGTTCTCTGAGCACAGCATGAGAGGCCGCAATGGATGTGTAGCTTGAACCAGATTGTGTGGAGCAGCTTGTTTGCTTGCTAAACAGCCCGTTCCTTTATTTCTCCTTCCAGACCATGGCCACCATCTCCTCTTTGGGCAAGTACACTCATGCCATTGTTCGCTGCATCCCTTCCTCGTTTGGCACAGCAGAGGCCCCGGCGGAGGGGTCTGAAGGCGGGTCTGAGCCCGTGGACCTGGCCAAGGCTCACCGGCAGTATGGCGTATACACGGGCATCCTGCGCCAGAAGCTGGGGCTCCAGGTCATCGAACTGGCTGCGGATGAGGGCCTGCCCTGCTCCACACTGGTGGGGGATCTCGCAGTGATACAGGGCGACACTGCCCTGCTCACACGGCCATGGCTTCCCTCACGACGGGATGAGGTAAGTCGTGCACACGGCTTTGCTGGATCTGCATTTCAGCTCACTCCCAAATCCATCTGCCTGAGTTATGAATCCTCTTGCAAACCATTAATGAGGAGCGATCTCTGTCCTGCTCTCTCAAAATGCTTTTGCCTGGTTGCCAGGAAGCGAAGGTTGAAGCACCCTAGGTGACCAAAGAAGCCGGGCTATGCATGTATCCTCGGTTTCGGCCTCTGGAGCCTGCCTGCGGTAGCGGTACTTGTACAGTACTGAGTGCCAGAATTTGAGAGGCCTTTCCTAAGGGTGGGAGAGAGCCATGGACTGAGCCAGGGGTGCTTCTCAAGGTTTGCCACAGCATGTTCTCCTGAGATGCCACACTGAATTATGTGAGGCTCCGGCCCCAAGCGCATTTACTAAAGAGTGGTCACAGTGGGACTTAACTTCTGAGTAAACTTGCATAGGACCACACGGTTCGGCTTCGGGTCTCATCCTAAGAGTTCTGCTTTCAAAGGGCAGCAGGCAGCACTGTCTGGCTGTTTGTTAAATCCCATCAGTAGCGGCTCCCATCTGTTCCTCTGAAGGAGCCTCTGGGATTAATCCCACCCGTGCCTCTGCGGAGCTGAGGTGGCCGCCTGACTGGTTGCCACAGCAATGGGGCCCATCCCTCGCCCCACACCTGCTCTCGGGCAGGTCAGTGACTGGAGACTGCTGTGCATGTGAAAGAAAGTCATGTCCCCCATGCAGTTCTTCTGTCTTTAGTTAATAATTAAAAAGCCAATCAAACTAATGCTTTTTTCCACTTGAGGGCTCTCCCAGGCAGCAGTCCTGCCCACAGGCATCACTGCCACATGCAGAGATCCCTGTTCCCCCTCTTCTTGTTCCCCAAGCATTCTAGCAACGCGGGTTGAGTGTGTCAGAGAATGCCTTTTCCTAAATCTGGATCAAACCCATGAATGTCCTACACAGACATGATACTTGTGCAAGAAATGTAAATTTCTGTGTAGCATCCCTCAATCCAGTTATGGTAATTAATTCTCTGTATCTGAAGTCCTATGAACATAAGAAAAGCTTTCCTGAATCAGACCAGGGTCGCTCTAGTCTAGCATTCTATATGGACCTTCTTGTCCCATGATTTCTTAATACTGGGGTGCCCCCTCTTTTTTATGGTGCCAAGTATACTATGCAAACTATGGGATGGAAGAAAACAGTGCAACAGATTGTTAAGCTTGAACCCGAAACAGAAGTGTCCTGAAGAGAAGATGAAAAGAGAGCTGCTAAACAAGGAGCGACCAAAAGCCAGAACCTAAATTTGGTCCAAGGGGTAGCTTTGATATTGTCAGCTGAACAGTACACCAAATCTATCTGAATTAAATTCAAAATGTTATGTGTGGGAAGAGAGGTCCCTGAGTCATTGGTAAAATAAGAGCAGCCCAGGAATCTGTGTGGAATGTAGATGAAACAAAAGTATGGATCAAGTTAAAGGTCATACAGATCATGCCAAGTTTTTCTGGGGGTGTTCACTTCCTCAAAGCCCGAGCAGTAAACACATTTTAAAGCCGGTGTGCGAGAACACAGCTTGGGCGCTGCTATTCTCACCCAGCCCACGGATGAGAGTCTTTGCTGTCTGGAATTCTGCATGTGCACGGAGGGGCGGGAGGGGCGTCTCCCATCTGTCTGTTTTCTGAACAGTCGGTAGGGCAGAAAGAGGCTTCTGGCACCAACCGGCTCTCCATCCTGGCAGAAAGAACGGAGAAATAGAAAAAGCCGCCCACTCCCCAACACAGCTCATCCTCTCTGGTCGCTTCTCTCTGGGGAAGGCAGCATGTGGCTTCCCAAGGCCATCATTGCCTCTCCCGCACCAGCCTCGCTCGCAGCCATGATCTCTCTGGCCAACAGGGGCAGCCTTGACAGCGGAGGAGGAGTGTTGCCCTTGGCGGGGCCTGGTGGTGAGTGAGTTTTAGAGCAAGACAGCGCCCCGAACCCCAAGACGTTGTCCTAGCTGCTCCCTTGGCCTAGTTAGGCCTCTGCAGCAAGCTGGCCGACAAGGACTCTGGAAAAGGCGCCAGCACCTATTGGGGTTTGATGTGCAAAACTGATAGGCGCCAGGCGCTCTGTTTCCTTCGCCACCTTGTTCAGTCTTGGCCTGACCCCGTTACTACTTTCCCCTCCAGCCAAAATGAAGGCAGAGTAAGTGTAATTGCATGTATCCACATCATCATCATCATCATTAAAATTTATTTCATTGCTATACTGCCCAGTAGCCGAAGCACTCCGGGCAGTTTACATTAGTTCATAAAAGGAGACAGTACATAAATATTACAACATTCAAAAGCAGTTTAACAACTGAAATAATCTGTATCTTAGAGTTTTTTTTTTTAAAAAAACCTGACATGGATACTCCTTTCAAGCCATTAAATACAGGCAGTTCCAGAGTTACAAACAACTTGTACTTACGAACAAGCTGCCACACAGCCTATTAATTTTTAAAAAATTACTGCAGAAAATTGTCATTACCATGGAGAGGAAGCGAAAGGGGAGAGAGGGAGGCCTCCAAAGCATCACCATAGAGAGAGAAGAAGCGAGAGGGGAGAGGGAAGCTTCCAGAGCAGAACTTCCTGCTCCAACCATCCGAATAAGGAAAATCTCTCCAGCATTTCCTTGCTGCAAAGAGGAGGCACTGATGAGTTTGGGTGGCAGGGGGAGCAGCTACTGATATTCACAGTTTTTCCACTTTCATAGGGGTTGTGCACCCCTAAACCCTGCAAATACAGAAGGCCAACTGTACCTGATCTGACTTACATACAAATTTGACTAAGAGATGCATTTCCATTTTCTCAGGAATGGAGCTCATTTGTAACCTGGGGACTGCCTGTGTCCTTGGATATTTTTAAAGGCCTCTGCACAGAGGGCTGTTTTACCTGGTGCTAAAAGAATGGAAAAATTGGCACCAGGCCTGGATGGAGAGAGTCTTCCACAGTCAGGGAGCTACCACCGAGAAGGCCCTCCCCCTTGTTTCCAGCCTCTGTACCTCCCGAAATTGGCACTTGGAGAAAAGCCTGAAATGTCTGTCATGATGTCTAGGTGGATTGTGATGGGAAGGGTGCTCTGTCCAGTACTGTGGTCCCAGGATGTGTAAGGCTGTGCAAATTGAAACCACCACCTTGACTTGGGTTCAGAAGCATCTAGGCAGCCAGTACAAACAGGTCTTTGTTAACACTGTCCTTTGTTTACTCTCTCCTCTCCTGCCACCTCTGTTGTGCACACAAACACACCCCTTGTGGAAATATTAGAATGTGAGCACTTTGGGGCAGTGATCTTTTGTTCTTCGCTTATGTGCTTTTGCAAAGTGCTGCATCCATCAGTCTTGCGAGATGCGTACAATTCACAGCTGTTGCTGACATCCAGAGGTTTTGGCTCTTTATAATAATGATGACCAATGAGGGTGCACCTGTCTGGGTCACGGGGTGTCACCTCAGTGATGGACATTCAGCTCCCTCAACCTTGGGCCACATCTGCCAGTGCATACCGAGTTCCTGCTAAATGGAGGTCCTTCAGTTTGCTCAGTGCCGTGGTTGTCTCCATCCACAATAAGCTGTTTGTGTTTGTGGATGGATGCAGTCAATCTGTTTGGTGAGCCACCAGATGCAAAAAGCTTGTCTCTTGAGGCAGCCGCCATGGAGTGCCGGTTGTGAGCGGTTCCATGTGGAGGCCCTACGTACATTTTTGAAGCCTTTCTAGTAGTAGTCTGGTGGGAAGTCTATTGTTGGAAGTTTAGCTTGAGTTACCTGAAGAGATACCTTCCGAGGAGTGACACAAGAACTCCGTGCCCCGATGGCCAGTGTTCCTCTCTCTCTCCCAGATCAGCAGTGTCAGGAAGGTCTTGGAGGAGCTAAAGCTGCGTGTGGTCGAAGTTACGGATGAGGGAGCCACCCTGGATGGCAGTGATGTACTTTTCACAGGTAAGTGACAACTCTGCTGGAAGATAGTCGCTGTTCCAGGGCAGAGATAGGGAATTTGCAGCCCATGAGCCAGCTTGACTCACCTGAGGCGGCCCGTAAGACTCCAGGTGAGGTCCCTGGCCTATGAAGCTTCACCGTGGGGAGGCTACAGGGGCTTGGAGAGGAGGCAGAGCAAGAATCCCTACCACTATGTTCCATTATGGGGATTTGTGGGCTGCCTTTACCCAGTACTTTGCCCTCCCCTCATCCTCTCCTCTGCTATCAAAAGATGGGACTTGTACAGGAAGGGGGTGGCTTCAGAAAGGGAAGTCCACCCTTTAATTTCTACCACTTCCTAGAGACAGCCATTAATCCCACCCCTCCTGGGTTGGACTTGGTCTGTGGGGGAAATTATGGTTCTGTTATTGATATTATTCATTGTATTATGTATTAAATTCTATTATGTCTTGATATTATGTATTATATTATTGTATTAAGGTTTGATTGATTTTCTATCGCTTACAGTTAAATATTGTATTGCTTAATTGCACTGCTCTAATGTTTTATTGTATTTTTATGGAATATATACTTTTTTGTTCTATTGTAAGCCACCCAGAGAGTCCTATGGGCTGTGGGGCGGCATGCAAATATAATAAATGACATCCCTATGTCCAGTTATAGTCAGGTCTGTGCTGAAAAGAGATCAGCTGACTTGTTTGTGCAGGCTTATTGGCCAGGCCTGAGGAGAGCTTATCTTAAAGAGCTGAGGGTTCTGGTCTGTTTCATCTTCTCGATGCCTTTGACAGGTAGAGAATTCTTCGTGGGCATTTCCAAGTGGACCAATCACAGAGGAGCAGAGATGGTTGCCGATACTTTCAGGGTGAGCTGGAATCTTGGAACAGAACGCCGCTTCCCCGTATGTGGGCGCCCACAGTGCCGCTCCATCTGGTGCCTTGCGCATTGTCCTTTTATTCTTCTCCCTTTTGGCGCAACGTCCATGCTGTGAATCAGCTCAACTCTTTCAGTTGCCCTTACGTGGCACTAATTGATCCCGGCTTTCTGGGAACGCTTTGGCTGGTCCAGCAAGAATGTCCACCTGCTCCTGGCCATGGAAGCAGATTCCAGACAAGCTTTAGGGCAGCCCTCTTCATCCTGGCCCTCTCCAGATGTTCTTGCCTCTAACTCTTACCGACCAGAATGATGGGAACGGTGACTCATGGTCCAGAATGATGGGAACAGTGGTCCATAATATCTGGAGGAGCCCTGCTTGGGCAAGGTGCCCTTAGTGTGCCTTCATTTCATGAGTGGCACTGGCTGGGACAGTTGGGTCTCGGCAGCCTTCTTCAGGCATTCACTGAAGAGGGATTCACTGCAGCCACGGAGGAGACAGGGACGGATTCTCCTCACCCCAAATGTTCTCCAGTTGACAGGGAAGTCCTCCAAAGGCAGACCGCCTGTGCTGCTGAATGTGCTCACAGGTTGCACGTGACCAGGAATCTGTCTTCACAGGAGATGAACCCGGTCCTTGCATGACTAGAAGGCTGCTCAGTTGGTGGGGCTTGCTGCCCCGCCCTCCGTCTGGCCTCTCCATCACTACTCTGCAATGCCCCACAACCTTCCAAAGCAATTCGGGTGGGCTGCAAGGGGGGGGGGAATCTGTTCTACCCACACTGCCTTCCCTGTTGGATGCAGTCCAGTGCTCCCTATTGTCCTGGGCTCTTAACCCTTTGCAGACCTTCCCTGTCCACCCAGGGAAGCTGGAGGTGGGCGGGGGGGGGGACTGTCTGCCCTGTCTCCTTCCATGGCCACATTAAAGCCCTCCTCATGGATCCTTGAAGGGGCCACTGTGCGTCCCCATGAATGCCGTCAGCTTTCCCACTGCAGGGATTGCTGGTTAGTTATTGATTTTCAGGACTTTTATCTTGCTCCTCAGCCAAGAAGGGCTCCTGGAGCAGCTTACACAAATTTATTACTTTTTATTTATTTAAAACTTTTCTAGACTGCCCCATTACCGAAGTCTTGGGATGGTTTAACAATACACAATGTAAAAAAATATTTAAAATACAGCATCCTAAAATACAACTAATAATAAAACCCCAATTAAAACAGTCAGGTCTTAAAACATTGGGAAAATAAAAACAGTTTTGGCCTGGCACCGAAAAGAATAAAGTGATGGTGCCAGGCAAACCTCTCTGGGGAGCGAATTCCAGAACTGGAGTGCCACCACAGACAAGACCCTTTACTGAAGAAATCAGTGGAAATCATTAAAGGAGGCACATGATCACAAAGAGGAGTCATTTACCTTAGATCAGTTGTCCTCAACCAGGTGTCTTCCAGTTGTATTGGATTGCAACTTCCGGCAGGGGATGATGTGAACTGTGATCCAGATTGCTTTGGGTCATCAGCAGAGTTCTGCATGGGAGGGGAGGGGAGGAGGGTGCACTGGATTGTGGCTGCTTGGGCCTCTGCAGATGCGTTGGGTCTCTCTGGGCAGGATTTTGCTGTGTCGACCGTCCCCATCTCGGGCACATTGCACCTCCGCAGCTTCTGCAGCATGGCAGGGCCGGACACAGTCGTTATCGGCAGCAGTGACGTCGCCAAGAAAGCCATGAAGGTAACGCCAACGATCACCCAAGCGTCCAGTCGCGAGGAAAACCTAAGTGCCTTAGGGCTACCTCCTCCCCAGCCCATGGAAGAATCTGTTCCTGTCATCAGTCCCTGCTGAAAGGCCCTGCCAGGGCGCTGAGAGCTAGGGTTTCTCCTTTCACACATTCAGAGCCACAGACCTTTCTTGCAGAAAGGTTTTTTTACTGACCAAAGCATTTTCCAGAAGCATAAACCCCCAGAATGAATCTCTGATCATGCTCGGAGCAGTTTGTGGAACCCAGTCTAGTACTCACTTCTACGACTCTCCTTAGGAGTATGTTTGGGCCCTGTCCTTTTGGGGGGAGACCTTTGGAAATGCACACCGATCCTTTAACTGATCCTGAGGCTGCCTCAAAGGATGGCATACAAATGCCTTAAATGGATAAATAAAATAAATAACTGGTGACATTTTTTCATGGGGTTGAGAGCCATACGTGCTCTGTCTGTCGGTCAGAAACTCCCCTGCTCCAGGCCTCTTCCTACTAACTGTACATCTTGGTTATTCTCAGAGGCTGCCTGAGCATCTGGGGAGGACAGTCTTGAGATAAATGCCTCCTTAACTCAGTGTCTGGAATTGGCCCACACTCTTGAGGCCTCTCTGCCTCCTCCGAGTCCAGCTCAGCAGGCCTTGGGAACGCGTGCCAAGAGCAACGGCCCTTCCCGCTCCCCACACAGGGTCCCCACACAGCACTGGCTGGAGCGCAGTGCTGCTGAAGGCCAATTCAAGCCTGCCCCACTTCCGTCCGGGTGCTCATCTTAACCTTCAAAGCCCCGCATAGCCTGGGACCACAGCACCTGATGGAACGCCCCCTCCAGCCTCGCTCGACATCTGAGGCCTTCGCCCCCATGGAAGGCTCAGCTGGACAAGAAGGGTCACCTCTGTGGGAGCTGCCAGGCACGGGCCCTGCCTGCTCTTCAGCACCAGGGGAAAACCACGTGCTTTGTCAGAGTATTTGCACGTGGGGGGCATTATCAGTTGCTTTAGCAGAATGGACTTGCCTTAGCTGTTTGCATTGTAAAAATGCTTTGCAATTTTAAGTGTAATTTTATGATTTTTTTTAGTGTTACTCATATTTTACACCGTATTTTACGGTGTTTTATCAACTGTTCTACACCGCCTAGAGCATTCTAGCCATGGGTTGGTGTAGAAATAAAATGACCCATTTTCTCTCTCCCCTGCCTTTCCTGAAGACCATGGAACAATTAACTGATCACCACTATGAAACACTGACGGTGCCTGATGACCTGGCCGCCAATTGCATCTATGTGCGGCTGGGCCAGAAGAGCAGCGTCCTCCTGCACCGCAGCGCAGAAGAGTATCCGAACAGCGTGCAAGTAAGACGAGGGGGTGCGCCGCAGGGAGGGCAGGGCAGGGCAGGGCAGGGCAGGGCAGGGCAGGGCAGGGCAGGGCTGGGGAGCGCGTGTGCTCAGAGGTACAGTCAGGTAATTAACGCGAGAGCAGGAGGAGGCAGCCAGTGTCCTCCTGATATTTTGGGAAGCACAGGTGTGCCAGTTTGAATTAGATCCCAGACAGAAAGGCTTTGGGGAGTTCCTCTTTACATGGCCCTGTGTATTGTCTCAGCTGTGAAGCGCAGAACCGGACTTTCTCCTGTCCACCTTTCTGTGCTCATAACCGCTTCTGCATTTACAATAATCTAGAATAAACCCCCAAAAGTAGCCATTAAAATGCTGTTTGTCGGCCATGATTTTTTTGAAAAAGAATATCAAGTTGCATAGGTGCAGCTTGATATTGTAAACTTATTTAATTCATAGCATCGTCATGATGGCAGGCATAAAAGCGAGTTTGCTTCTGCTGTCTTCACTACCCTCTCGCTCTCTGGGCAGGCATCTGGGGACAGTGCTGGGGGGCTGGACTGCCCTGCACTAAGTCCTCAGGGACCGTCCCTACAGGCACAACTCTGTTCTTGGACGGGGTTGTGGTTTCTAGCAATATAGGTAGTTTCCACATGGCAGGAAAGGCATCGGGCCGATTCAAAAGCTGCCACAGGGAATTGCTTGTGTGAAGGGTGACATCCTCGACCCTTTTGCCTGTGCATTCACTCACACCTTGCCTTTTGCACACTGTCCAGCTATTTTGTGGGGGTGTGCTTTAAAGCTCAAGCCACACAGTGCTCTGCATGCACCGACTGTGCACAGAAGACCAGCTGTCGTATAGGTAGTAGTGGGAATTTATTCTCAAGAGCTGTAGGGAAGGAACGATGGGAAAACCTCCTCAGAGATGCCATGGGGAATTAATTCAGTGGCCTGCTTGTTTTCAGCTCTCCAGCGCTTTCCTCAGATTTGGCTTTCCTCTGAAATGGAGGCAGGACCAGTCTGGCGCTCTGCAAAACCACTGGGGCCAAGGTTCTGCTGCTTGCACCCCCACTGTCACCCCGATTGGTGATAACGGGGAGCCCTCTGGGGCGCTCCTCCCTGTGGTGGAATGCCAGTGGGCTGCATGGGCCAGAGATTCCCGCTCCTGCTTTGAAAAAACTAAATGGTTTACCCTTTGGAAGGACACTTGAAATAGGCTGGGCCAGGAAGTTGGCCTCTGTATACCTTGGAGGCTTCCTCTTTTCATTCTTCTTCTTGGAGCATGTAAAGGGAGGACTTTACCTTGTGAACCAGGCCGCATGCTCTGGCCGAGGAAGCATGTTTTTGTGGCAGCCTTCTGTAAAGGGTACAGAATACCACACGGAGCGTGATGGCACTGCTGCTTACATTTGGCACAGGGTGTTGGTTTGGGCCTCTGAGGGGCTTTGGGTTATTTGGGGGCAGGGTTTGACTTTTACAGCTTCCAAGTCTGGCCAGGGCCCATTTGCAGAGGCCACTCGGTGGGAGACAGGGGGTCCCCTGCCCATTTTACTATAGATTCTTGGGGCCCTGTTCTGAACACCTAGTTATCTCCCTTGTTTGAACCACCATGGCAGGAGTAGAGACAAAATCATGGGGGTTACGTTTGGAGAGAGGACTAACCACTTTCTGTCTGCCTCCTTCTCTTAGCCCTTCCAGAAACTTCCGGACTACACCCTCATCCCTGCTGCTTGCACTGAGGTAGCCAAACTTGGTGGGACTCTCAGTTCCTGCTCCCTTCTCATCAACAAGAAGCTGGAAATCTAGTGCCTGTTGAACCTCCACCAGAAAAACAGAGGTTCTCACAATCTTGAAGACCTGCCTGGCTCAGCTCCCACGTTCAGAGTGATGTCCCTGTTTTTCTTAGCTGCATCCTGAGGGAGGAACACCTCCCTTCCTCCCAAATATGCGAATCTGGTGGTCCGCTGTTCTTTAAAAGAAAAATTATACTGGATCTTCACTGCCATGGTGTTCCCCCAATCTCTTTATTTCCTGCCTCTGCCTTCTACTTCGTATCCTCTTGAAAAAGACCTACTTTTATGCCAGAGTAGATAGGGGCTCTTATCTTGCTCCCAGTTCTGAAGGAAATCTCTAGCAGGAAACCAGATACTCTTTATTTTTTCAAAGCTGTTGCTGCTGCTTTGATTTTTTAAATTTTTTTTAGCAACATTCTCCCCTGTTTATTAACCTTTATGGACAATTGTTTCTTTTGAGAAATATTTGTAGGTAACCCTCTTGGAAGACACTTAAGGGATGTCTATCATAAAGCCTGACCCAAGAAACCTTCTGCAAGTGCTCTCTCTCTCTCTGTGTCTCTCTCTCACTCTCAGTACCATCTCCAAACTGGAGAGCAGAAGATATTCTTGGAGACCTCACTGTGTGTGATACTGCACAGTTTCCACTGGTTTGGAAGGCAAGCCAACATTGCATTGCAACAGAACTGGATGTCTGCATTACTCTGGATATGGGAGATTGGGAGGCGCTCTGATTTGAACAGTTACAAACCTCAACACCTGATAATTTGTGTCAGATATAGGAAGAATTCTCTAGTGTATTATGTTTGCATTACCACAAGACCTTTCCCCTCCCTTAATAATTCGTTTTAGGGCTGATTCTGTGGGGTTGGAGCCAATGGTGCCCATCTCCTTGATGAAGGCAAACCACTGAGGGAGCAGACTTCCCCTTCCCCTTGTGTGCACCCCAGATCTGCTCAGGAGGGTTGGGGGGCCCACAGGAGCAAATCTAGGAGGCAGGCCATGGGGAGTTCTCACACAACTGTTGGCTTCAGCCCTTGGTTTGCTAGCTACATTTCTATGGTGCTGCAGTTTGGGGACTGGGAGTTCAGCGCTGGATCTAAGCTCCCACCCCCCACCCCCCCAGGCTCAAAAACATGGCTTCCCCACTGCCACCTCAACTGAAAACCTCTCTGCATACCCACAAGGTTGAAGCAGTTGTGGAGGAACAGCTCGATGGAGGCATGGCTTCCTTTGTAACACGGTGTCTGTGTTTGTGTAACATAGTTAGGGGGCGTTCGTAGGAATATTCTTGAAAGCTGTAGCACGCCCTCTGTTGGGGAGTAGGCGTATTGACAGATGTAGGACCTTAGAGTCACTCACTGCCTCTTGAACCCCTTGTGGAATCAATTAAATCAATAACAATAAAAAAAACTGAACCAACTCCAAATCTTGAGGATTTTTTCCCCCACTTCCGTTTTGGTTTGCTGTCTCATTTCTTCGGGGCAAACATCATTGCATCTTGTTCTAGGTGTGATGTTGTAAATACTGTGTGCACTTACTGCAATTTCATACCTAGAATTTGATGAAAGTAATATTTTTGCTCTGAAGAAATGGTGTTGAACTGTGAATTCCTTAGCAATTGAAAGTGGTAAACCAAAGGAGGTAATTTTTAAACCACATGGGCATGCTGATGGGCTGGAGTCTGTCCACTTGAGCTATGCATTTATGGGAAGCCGACCAAGAACTTGAATGTGCCTCCCACTCCCATCCACTCTTGCGGTCGTGGACAGGCAGATAAAAGAACATGGATGGTTGACTGGGACCCTGTCAACCCACAGTATTTGGCTGGTGGATTTCATTCATCTTGGTAGGATCCACACTGGGGAAGGGCCGGCTCAGGGTCAAGTAAGTTGCCTGCAGAATCTCCAGGCAAGGCTGGAAAAAGTCCTTCCCGATACCTTGGAGAGCCCCCTCCAGTCCGTGTGGGCAGTTCCAGGACAGGTAGGCCCAGGCCTAGTTCACTATATGATGGTCTCCTGGATTGGTCTGTTGTATGGGTCTGTTCTGGGCGAAGTTGCAGGGTCTCTCCCCACCTCTTCCTTTGCTGAAAGCTATTTTAAAGGAAGAAATCTGAAGGCCTTCCTCACAAAACAGTAACTGCAGTATGGCCAGTTGTGTGTTTGGAAAAGAGAACTCGGAGAACTTGGGGTGCATGTTTGCATGGATTGATTTATGAATCAATATACCATATTTCTATACTATCTAATAACCAAACCTTTTGGGGTAGTTCTCAACCATTTAAACTATAAAATACGTCAAAAATACAATATTAAATAATCCTACAAGCAGAATTGTTTCAAGCACAGCTGCAGTCATAAAAAGTAAAGGGCTGTAGTGCCAGGTTTGATTTCCTAAATATTTAAGGGTCTTTTTCTTCTTTTTGCTAGAGGGTGGTAAAAGGGAAAGAGGAAGGTTCGAGCCTTCTTGACTTCAGAGGAATTTAAAAAATTAGCGGGTAAGGAAAGCAAAGTTTCCATCTCCCACTCCCAGCTAGTGGGAGGGGTGCAGTCAATGAGCCTATTGTTGTATTATAATGGAAATTCAATTTCTTGTCCCCATAACTGTGGGGATGGGAAGTGCCATTTGTGTGCTGTCATTCCAAACCTGTGGGTTGCTTTGACCCACACTAGTCTGCCAATTTTCATGGCTGATAAGGACTGGGGATGCAGTCACCAATCCCAAAAGAGAGAGCCACAGTGCATTAGAAATGAGACTTCCCCAGCCTGGTACCCTCATCAACAACTCCCATCATCCCCAGGCAGTATGAACTAGAAGGCACAACAGTGTGACTTGATACAGCATGGCACCTTGTAAGCATTTTCGCCCCTTCGCATCCAGTCCGGAACACTGAAAAGGACTTTGCGCCGTCGGCCTCTTCCTCCCTTGCTGGGGATGCCACCTTTTCTTGGCAGCACTTGATAGCATTAACTGAAGGATTCCGTAGTGTCTCTTCTGGCAGCCATTTTGAGACCACCATATCACTCTATCTGAGCAACAGTTTGTTTGGTAGCGTGGCCTCCAGTTCAGTTGGACGAAAGAGTCTTTGTGTCTATTACAGCCTGGATGGCTAATGTGTCGTTGCAGATATAGGCGTTTCCCGGGTCGTGGAGCAAGTTCAAGGGGCAGAACTCGGGGAGGCCACTGGCCACATTGTTTTCATTCACAGGGCGCTGGAAGGAGGACGACGACTCCAAGGGGCGAAATGAGGTGGAGATGTGATGCTTGTGGACTTGGTCCAGGAGAGTGAAGGTCACCTGATTTAGAAGACAAACAGAAAGCTGAAGCATCGCTTCACATCAGTAGTCAAATAAATGCCATGGGGATTCAAGGACTCCTGAGAGCTGAACCCCAGTGTCCCAGGGGAAAGAGTTTGGCCTGAGTAACACCTTTACTGGACGCTTCTGTGCTGGAGAGAGAGCAAAAGGATTCTTTCTACCATGCACATCACTTAATATCCGAAGCAGGGCTTTTGCAGTTTTTCAGTCCCAATAAGCAGAGGCTGGAATTTGGGTTTCAGGGCACAAAGTAGTGGCGCATAACTCAGCTCAGGTGGGGTGTGCATGACCCTTAAACTGGATTCCCGCCCAGAACAAGGAGGTGGATCTGATGGCCTGAATGGACCCTCCCAACTCTGGTTCCATGAACCCTTTCCTCCCAGAAATGATAAGCCCAGCACAGAATCCCCCAGTACCTTGTGCCGGAATGGCCATTTCAGCAGGAAATCATACTCGCCCTTCATCAGGACTAGGAAGACAGAGAGGTGGGTTCCCGCTCCTGTCCCGTCGCCATTCAGGAACAGCTTGAGGCGGAGTTTGTATCCGTAGCGGCTGGTGTAGAAGACTGGGGTGAAGGGAACACAAGGGGTGAGAGCGGCGCCCTCTGGAGGACAGACCCCATCACTGCACTCTCCTGGGTGGGCAGGGCTGCATCCAACATGGGCGTCACTGGGCATGCGTGGCTGTTGCCCACTCCCGTCCCACCCCCCAACCTGTGGTCACACTTAAGTGCAAGTGTCGTGATGCCATCTTGTACGTTCCCTTGCCCTCCTGCCCTTTGCGAGCAGCACCCAGGAGGGAGGAGGGAGGGAAACATTCAGTACTAACAATTGGCCAACGAGATGCAGGTTGGTGGCAGGTCAGGTAGGCTGAAGCTTTTCTTAACGCATGAGGGGAGGGGGCTTCCCAGGCCAATTTCAATCCTCTGGAGCTGTCCAGTTCAATGGCTGCAACTTTTTATCAATTTTTTTAAAAGTCTAGTACTTGCAGCCCACCTTAAGACTGAGAGAATATTTGTAAACATCCTGTATTTTCAACAGCCTAAATGTTTATATAGTAGATGCATGCTTGCTTGTTCATTTCCAAAATTTATAAACTGCTCTATATTTAAAAAGGATTCCCAAGAGCTGAATAGTAGAACAAAATGGAATGAAAAAACATAATGGAGTGAAAAAGCATAAGAATACAAATATTTAAAACCAAGCTGTTTGATCAGGGAAAGCTGGTTTAAATAAAATGCATTGCACAGATGCTGAAAACAAAACAAAGCTGGCACCCACCTGACATCAGCTGGCAGGGAATTCTGCAGCGTGGAAGTGAGTACACTAAAGACTTTGCTCTGAGTGCACTCCAAAGGGACTGCAAGTCCATGTGGGAAGCTTCATCTAGCAACCTCAGTAGCCAGACAAGTGGAGAAGGCCCACTCAAAAACATCCAAGCTGTTTAGGGCCTTACATACCAGGAAAAGAACCTTAAACCTGCCAGGTGGCAGAGAGACAGAGCAGTTCCTTCAGTTTGCAAAGGAGCCACATAAAGGCAGCTTTTAACTGCAGCTGTGCTGCCCCCTTCTGTGCTAGTTGCAGTTTTAAAACCAGCCTTCTTTATTTCTCTCAGTGCTTGCCTCTTGGGAATACAGGCAATGCTGTTTTGTTGTGTCTGGGACAAAATCCATGTTGGAGAAGGTGAAGAGGAAAAGGGAGGGAGGTGTGATCTCTCCCAAAGTTCCTTCTGCTCCCCATGAACAAGTTGGATGAGTGGACAGCCTGTGATCTTCCAGATCTTTTGGACTACATCTCCCATAAACCCTCACCAGGAGAGGGTTGGCGAGAGTTAGAGGCCAAGACATCTGGAGGGATGATATGCACAGTGGACCTGTGTGGAGCTGGTTCTGAAAAACCGGTTCTCCTCCAGTCAGTCTTAATTCCATACCTTGCCCCTGCTCCAAACTCCACCTACTTAAAGTACACAAATCTGCCTTTGGTGCATCATCTGCTCTGAATTTGGTTTTGTTGATCACAAGCTGTGATAATCTGTGCTTGCAGACTCTGAGCCCTTCCTACACATGAGAACACTGCTAAAATAGCTACTGGGCACAGGTGCATCTGCTCGAACAGGTGACTGTTTTACAAAACTGAGAGCAGCCCCCTGCTTCCCTCCAGCCCAACCTTCTGCTCACTCACAGGGAGAATAAAGGGCAGGCCGGCTGCCAGCTCGTGCCTCCCGCATCCTGAGCTCCACCTCTGGAACCTTCCAGAGGAAACAGCCGTTGTACGTGGTTTGCTCCAGGGTCTGGATCTGGGAGGCTAAGCTGCTGATCATCACATCCTTCAGGGCCAAGAGTGTGTCTTGCTCTTTCACCTGGGAGGAATGGATAGAAACGGTAATGTGGCGCTACTTATGGGGAGAGCTGGGCCTGGAGGAGTCCAGGATACAGAGGAAAAAAGCAGTCCTGCATTTTCACAGAAGGAAGCCAAAGCACGGCTAGGTGCTTTAGAAAAAGATTGCACCCAATCTTCCTATTGGTATCAATGGAAGTTTTTCCCAACTTTAATTGCCCTGCAAAAAGAAGTGTGTGTGTGTGTGTGGGGGGGGGTACAGTGAATAGGGAAGGGAGAATTAACCCTTCCCTGCCAACTGTAGTCCCCAAGGAAAATCCCTTCCTCCCATAGCATGGGGGAGTTGGGGAGCCTGCACTGTCGCATGTGTGGAGGGGGGTTCGAAGCAATTGCCCTTGAAAATTCCCCCCTCCCTGCATGGCAAGTAAGCAGAGAAAAAACCTTCCATTCCCACTGATGGACACAGGTCTCTAGTTCTGGGGCTGTGCAAAACAGACTAGAGGCTGGAGCCTAACGGGCCCGGGCCCAGCAACACCCCAGCCAAAATGAGAACCTGCAGGACTGCATCTTTCTCTTCCGAGTACCACACCATCTCCTGGAACAAGACATCTTGAAAATGGGCTGAGACCAGGCAGGACTGCACCAACTGCTCCTTGGCAGGGGGGACTCCCTTTGCTGCTTGCAGCAATGGACTGGATGGCAGCCCTCCTGTTGCCTGCAAAAAGGCTGACCGGGGATGGGGCAGAGCTCTCCACTCCACCCAAGGGCAGCGGGCTGGTGTGGAGGTGGCGGGAGGCCACGGAGCTCGCCCTCTCTCCTCCCACAGCCAGCTGCCACCTGCCTGCACCTGCCGCCTGAGGCAGCACTTCACTCTGCCTCAGGTTAGGGCTGGCCCTGTTCCCAGCCCAGAAGTCTGGGGGGAGGGGGGAGGAGAGCGCCTTGCCAAACACGTGCCTTCCAGCATCGCTCCGGTTCCTTCTATGGTGGCAGCAGCAACCTGCTTCCCCACAGAATTGTCCCTTTCGTGTTTTTGCCCTCACAGTGCTTGGCTTTGTTTGCTTCACTTGCAGCCGCTGAAGCTGGCTTTGTGAGCGCTGTGCACAAGCGTCTCGGATGCATTGCCAGATCATTTGTAGAACCACACAGAATTGCCACGGCCAATACGCTGAAACAAGACTGTGCGGGGAGCAAGGCTTGGAGGACAAACGGGAAGAGGGATAAAATGGCAAAGTGCAGCACTGACACATTTGGGGAAACATTCATAAAAAACGGGACAAAAGTTAAGCTACTGCTGAGAAACAGCAATTGGCACTGTAATCACAATCCTTCTGTCGCGAAAACCAGTAGAGGGTCACGCCAAGGCAACCTGGGGATCTGGAAATCCTGGATTTGATTTTCTTAATGCTGGGCCGCTCTTCATTATACAGGCTGATGCACACATTTAATTAAAGCACACAATCAAAATACAAAATAGATGATTGTCCTTGCCATGATCTCACTCCTGTGGCAAGTGACGTGCAAGCAGGACATTTCAGGCTCCATCTAAGAGATTCTTGGGGTACAGCTGGGAAAGACCACTGCCTTGTACCCAGGAGTTTACAGCCAACCAGTGTGGACCACAGCTAGGAAACTTGTGGCCTGCCAGAGGGTGGGCTGTATCTCCCATCAGCCCCAGCCAGCATAACCGGTGGTGGGTACTGAGGAAGCTGCAGCGTAGGCACATCTGATGGGCCGCAAGTGGCCCACCACTGCTTTAGAGGAGTCTTAGAAATGCTAGGGATCAGCACTGATGTGGCCCATTATACTGTTACGGATGCCTGGCCTTTCCAAGATATGCCTCTGTGAGACACCTCACCTTCTCCTCCAGGTAGAGGATCCTGGCCATGGCGTCGCCCAGAGTGACTCCAGGGGGCGTCTCTCTTCTGTCCAGCTCCCGACTCAGGACAGAGACGATGTTCTCTAAGGTCTTCTGCCGGCTTTCCAGCTCAGCCACCTTCTGCTTGAACGGGAAGCCAGACTTCAGCCTCTCCCACAGCTTGTCCAGTGGGTAGTCCAGGCCCGCTAGCTGGTTCAAAGTTTCCAGGTAGTGTGGGTGCTGCGATGCCGTGCCTTCTTCCACATGTCCACCAGGCGTCTGCTGGTAGCAAAGGCTCACCTGTGGAATAGCATCTTCTGTTGACGTGTGTGCAAGTACGAGTTCTTTCTAACGGGCAAAGTTTTCCCACCCTGCCCAGAGAAAAAGCACTTTACTCCAGACTTCCCTAACGTGTTGACCTCCAGATGGACTATAACTCCTATCAGTCCCAGCCTATGGCTGGGGACGAAGGAAGTTGTAGTGGAAAACTTCCAGAAGACACCAGGGTTGGGGCGGCTGCTTCATCTGGTTCCCCTGCATGGGGACTGCAGTGTTCGTGCTCCTGGGGGGAGGGGGAGAGGAGGAGAGGGGGAGAAATGCAAACTGCTCCCCAAAACTCACCTTCTCAAAATGGATGAGAGGCTCGCTTCCCTGGTCGTCCAGGCATCTGTAAGAGGACATTTCACTCCAGCTGCAAGACAGGTGGAGGGGAGATGAAATACCAAGGTGAGTCCCCACGGCTCAGGCCAGCAATCCCCTTCTCCAGAAGCCCCCAGAAGACTTTGAGCAATGCGAGCAGGCAAGGGCCCTTGGCCTGCTGCCCAGAGGAAACTCCAGGCACCACAAAAGAGTAGGGTGGGCAAGTCATGGCCTCCTCCCCCAGTAATGCTGGACTTCACCTCCCAGCACCCCTCACTACTGGCTCTGCTGGCTGAGCTGATGGCAGTTGTGGCCCTGCAGCTGTTGTTGCAACACAGGTTGTCCACCCCAGGATTAGAGGTGCTGCTTAAAGCCTTGGATTTCAGCTTAATAACCAATTTTAGAGATGATCCTTAAGGACAAGTAGAGAGACGTTGCTCTTTCGTTGTGTCCTTTTATTTGCCTGGAAAAAAACACAAGCGGCTTTTCTATGGAAGTTCAAGCAGTCTGTTACCCTCATCTTTCCTTACTTCTGGAAAGGCAGGTGGTTTGGTAGAACCGGCAAAGAGCACAGTGGGAATGTTCCACTTTGTTGAGGCCCAGAAAAGCCAGACCTTGGCTGTGCACAACCAAGTCACCAGGCACCTGTCAAATCCCACCCGAGATGGGATTTGGGATTCCCAACAGGCAGTCTCCCTCTCCCCATCTCAGGTGCAGTTCCTCATTCCAAAATAAGAGCAGCAATAACTGCACAGAGTTTGGTCTGAGGTGAGATGAGTGGTTATTTCTGTGGCACACTAAATCAGTTACTAGAAAACTGGAGCCCAAGAATTCGCTGGTTGCTTCAAAAGATGATGGTTCTTGGCTCTTGTTGATATTTTGGGGCTGCCACTCGCCTCCCACCCCTGAGCTTCTCTGCCTCGTGTGAACTTTTTGCTGCCTTCAGCCTGTTTTACAAAGCAGTGAGAGGCAGTGTGGCAGAGTGGCAAGAGTGCTGGACTAGGCCTGGGAAGGCCTGAGTTCTCATTTCTACTTGGCCATGGAACTTACTGGATGATGTGGGGCAGTCACTGCTGTGAGGATACAACAGAGAAGTCAAGGAGGACTGGGTAGGCCACCTTGGTTTCCTGGAAGAACCGAAAGGGGGATATCAAGATAATAAATAAAATTACAAAGCAACTCCTAAATGTGTGTGTGGTTGTGGTCCTCACGGAATGGTCAGCTTTCCTTTCCCTCACTGAAGTCGGACTGCAGTCATTCTGACTGTCTCACTGGTCCCCTCCCTGCCAGCCGATGCCCGCCTGCTGCCAGCAGCCCGGAAGCCAGCCCCGTTCACACACGGCTTGCACCAAGGGGTGATGCGGCCAGAGAAGGCCTGCGCCTGGAGCCCTTCCGCCGAGGTTGCACCCGGCTCCTCTTGCCCCCTCACGTATTCCAGCTAAACACTCACAGTCGGGCTCTGTTCTGCCCGGACTTGCTCTCCGCCCCCTTTAAAATCCTGGAAAATTGAGCTTCTCGTTTCCCCAGGGGGGAACTTCTGCCAGAGAAGTTTCCACGTGGCCACAGTATTGCCCCTTTACTATAGTAATACATGAGCTTTCAGGCCTTTTAGAAAGGCCTGACATCGCTTTGCCGATGTCGTACGGCCCGCCTTGCAGAGCTTTACTAAGTGGGATTCCCACCCAGAGTTTCCCCCGTCCTTCTAGTAGCCGTGCTCAAAGCGTGTTGGGTTTCCCCTCAATGTTTCCGCCAGTCACACAGAGAGGTAGATCACCTTCTGGGGAGGCATTTATTCCGCTCACGCTGTCACAGGATGACGGTGAGGGACTTTTCTCCCGTGCAGTCAGAGAGAAAGAGAGATCCCCAGGGGAATCCCATTCTGAGGTCTGTGGCAAGGTGGGAATGGTCAGTAGTACAGAGGATGCAATTCTGAGTTTTAGGAAGGAAGGAAGGAAGGTCTGACTCAAGCTGCAGTTGGTGAGGCGGCATTTTCAGGGGGCCCGCAGGATGGCCAGGTGCCCAGCTCTGCAGTCCCCTGAAGCTTCCTCCATCTGTGGTATGTGAAGTTCAAAGGGAAAGAGCAACAGAGAAACCGCAAGAAGGGAGAATGGGTCTGGGGACAGTGCTGAGCATCAGCACTCAGCACCTGGTCAGCAGGATAAGGCACAGGTCCCCTGGCCACCTCTCCCCACCCCCCGCCACAAGATCTCTAGCATTTCTATTTAAATTACAGTATGTTTACATTTGCATTCTCTCTGATGAATGAGCATTGGCCCTTTTTGTGCTACCCGTGCCCTCTTTGCCCTCTTTCCCCACAATGTGTAACTGGCCACCCTACTGGGGGGAACCCACAACAAAATGTTGGCATGTGTCCCAAGTCCAAACAGGACTTCTGTTCTGGGCTCAAGCCAGCCAAGAACAGCCGAGTCTTTGGGGTCGCATGGACAAGGAGGAAAGACACCTTCTTGTCCATTTCCGTGCCTCTGAAACCGCTTTGCTGCTGTGCTATAGGAGGCTACAGGGACTGAGGTTTGGATCCTGCAGCTGCCAGCCCAACCCCAGACCCTTTGCTGCTATAATTTGGCAGGCAGGGGTGCCTCTGGGGCAGGTCCTAGAGGCAGAGGCCCAGGGCTGTGCTCAGCGGAATGTGCAAAAGAGCTCCAAGCACAGCAAGTCCAGCTCAATTAACACGCACAGCCTATTAAGAGTGGGCAGGGGGCTGTAAGGACCATTAAGTCCAGGTCTAAAATCAATGAGCAGTGGGTGGATGTGTGGATAGATGAAGGACTTTTCTGGAAAACAGGAAGGTGAAATGGGGGTCCTTTCCTCTTTCCTAAACAATGCAAGAAGGCGGTAGGTTTTATATTTACAAAGGCGGTAGGTTTTATGCTCCAAGCCCCTCCCCAGGTGTCCATAAACTATTAAAGACCTTTTTTTTTTTTTTTTTGCTCTTAGTAACTTATGGCAACTCTATTCAGGAGTGCTCCCCAAAATGGCCTGTCCTTGACAGTTCTTCTCAGCTTTGGTAAACAGACCCATTTCCTACCTTTCTTTCCTGCCCACCCCTTTCACCAGATGCGCTCAATATTCCTTGTTAGTCTGGGTTTATTTTTAATTAAACATTTATCATCTATTTTAACTGTACCTACTTTTGCGTATCTGAAGTACATTGAAGTCCCTTAAGTACATAGCAAACACTGACTTATTTTGGGGTGGCTCCATTTTGCACCCAGGTTTAACATGCACTACAGAAATATTCAGAGCTCTGATCATTGGCTGAAGCACACTTAAGCAGGAGGGCTTAAAACGTTGATATAACCAGCCAGCTACACATGCAAAAGTCACATATTCCTTTGTTTAAAAGCAGTGGGGAGCACTACTTGGCCTAGCTCTCTGTCATAGGAAAAAATAAACCAGGCCCATGCAGGGCCAAATGCAGGATTTCCCAGCTATTCTACAACATGTATGCAGAGCAGAGTTTGAGGACTACTGGTCAGAGCTGACAGGCAGCAGTTTTCTACGGATTCAGGCTTTCCCCGGACCTACCTAAAAATGCCAAGCTCTCAAAGCTTCCCTACATGAGGCTTGTCACGCACCACTTTACCAAGGCTTTTGCTTCCGGATTCTTTTACACAACCACTGGTGCAGCACAACTCTGCAATTGCACAAGGGTTTCAGGCCACCCATTGCTGATCTAACACAATTTCCTCATTAAGAAAGCCTGCCCGAGGTTGTGCGAAGTGGGAGAGGCCCCGGAGGACAACAGCGATGTGTACACCACCCTCAAACTGTCCTGAGCAAGGAATCACAAGCACCCCACACTGCCCCATGCGGGGCCAGTGAATTGGAACAATTGGAAGGAGATGCTTTCTCCCATTTGCTCTGGTTCATTGAGACCTTGACCTCCTTCCCATCACATATTCTGAAATCCCGTCACCTTTCTTTTCTTCTAGCCCTTTCCCCCAGTCCTTAATCCAACCCTTAGCTTAGTTCCGGCAGCCTGGGGATTTCAGAACCTGCCTGGTGTGTTTTAATGATCAGTTGTGCAGCAAAGAAAGAGAGCAGTGGAGGGACATGTGAGCACCAGTGAGCATTTTGACCAATGTGGCGTTTACATCTGTTGTTCAAAACCCAGCTGAACAATCACCTTGCCTCTCCTCCGTGGGATGGGGGACTTTCTTAGCTGCTTCACTGTACCAGTTCCCATCATTTGAATCCATCCCGAAAGTTAATTTCCAAGGAGGAAAGTGGTGCCTTGCAAGTCGCATCTGCTGACTTCAGAGCTGTACCCTCAAATCCCAGTTAGTTGGAGAGAGAGAGAGCGCGCTCTGTAAATGCTCAGAGACACTCTTTATCATCACTTCTTTTGCTTCAAGAAGGAGCTCCAGCATAGGAAACAGGCTCTGGGTGTCAGACTGCAGTGAGCCTAAGGCCCCACCTTTTCCACAGCACTTCCACTCCTTCACGTGAACAGAGCCCTCGTCAGATCAGCTTTGCTCTCCTCCAGCCCTCCAGCCCATCACCGTCTCTCCTGTCCACATACCTTGTTGCCTTCACCAGCCCAGCGTCTGCCCCTCGTTTCTGAGTTCTTCCATGAGAAACCAGCACTGATGTTTTTCCCTTCCTTAAAGTACTCAGCCACAGTCAAAGAGTGGGCAGGAAGGCTGCTTGGTTGGCTGGGGAGGCTGCAGCAGGCGCTGGGTGGGGGAATCCCAAAACTGGGGAGGAAGTTAAAGTGATCAAAGTCAGAACTGAAAACAAAAGCTCATTCATTTCATTGCAACTTTTGGCCTATTTGATTTCAAACTGCGTAGCACTCCTGGCAGATGGCACTTCTCTAACCAGGACAAAGCCTGTGGAAATAATTGCCATGTTTTTTAGTATGGGTCATGAGGCTTCCTACTCCCATCAGTTTCTGCCATGAGGTCACCCTCTTTTATCTGGAATAAGTAGTACACCTGCTATTCCCACTCTGTGGATGCCGCCCCCACGGCTGGCGGGGGAGCTGGTCAGGCCGGCCAAGGGCCTGGCATTCCACAGAGGGATAAAACGCAGACACGTGAGGCCTTTCCTGCCACACCAGCCACATCTGGAAACCTGCCACTTATTGATCCATGTTGAATTTGGGGCGTTGCAAGTCCATCATCCCCAAAGAGTTGGGGGAAGTTCAGAAAGGGCCATTACTTCATTCCCTCTTTTTTCCAGTGCAGCTTTACAAAGGGTTGGAGAAAGTTCCAGAACCTCCTCTAATGCCAGTGTGGGTGCATCCAGCTATCCTTACACTTGGTCTAGGAACAGGAAAATCGCTCAAGCTTGATTTTATTTGGTTAATTAAATATTTAAGGAGTTGCTGCACTTTCAAAGGCACCCCAAATTTGCTCTGTGATGATAGGCCCTTCATATTGATACTAAAATACTAAATCCTGATACTAAATCCCTATTTTTATTTATTTATTTGATTCCTAAGACTGCATCCAATAGTCCCAAATGGGTATGTCTGGGTAGTGTATATCCATCAGCAATATCATATAAAATTGTACAATAAATAGTGATTAAAAACAATAAACTATTAAAACATAAACTAATACTGATAAGACTTCCACACAGTGTTTCAACAAAATTTATTCTTGGTGAGGTTAGCAGATAGCTCATCAAAAGAATTGTTTCATTTATGTAATTAAACAACTAAAACTTAAAATTAGTTCAATGCTATTCGTTTAACTATTCAAATACTTGGAAAATAAAGCTCTTTTTGCCTGGTGCCAAAATGATTGTAAGGAAGGTGCCAGGCGAGCTTTTCTGGGGAGCCGATTCCAAAGATAGGGGGCAACCACAGAGAAGGCCCCTCTTCTAGTCGCCACCCCTTTCACCTCCTTTGGGGATGGCACTTCAAGAAGGGCCTGTGGACCACATCTTAACGATCGGGTAGGTGCATATGGGAGAAGTGACTGTTTAAATTATCTATAAAGTTGGGCACTTCTCGCCTGGTAAAAACACTGTCCCTGATTGCTATTTAGGGTTGATTTCATGGGTGGTGTCAGGGACCATCCACTACAGCCAAGAGCTCAGATCTTTGGGTCCCTTCTGCCCCGCCACCCAGCTGTCTGTTGGTGTTTGCTGAAATAAAGGTAAAAGGCCCTGATCTCCTTTGCAACCGATCCTGGTGGATTAGCTGGGTTCCACCTCCATGAGCTTCACCTCCTGCTGTCCCCCACAGAAACCTTTCTGCCTAAAGTTCTTTTTGCTGAAGTCAAAGGCCCTCCATCCTTTACAGTCTTTGAAGCATCTGTAACTTAGCACATGCTAATTTTGTTTTGTTTTGCTTGCCTGGTAGGTCTGAATCCTTTCGCTGCCTAGCACTGCCCCTAGTTGCTTTTTATTATTTGTTAACTCTTTGTTGTTGCATGTGTACCCACGTGTACATCAGCACGACATCCATTCCTTTAAATCAGAGTTAAATCTCTGAGGAAAGCAGTGGGGAAAGAAATGCATCTTGATGTTCCTATACATGCTTGCTAGGCAGCTCTGAGGGAAGAACAGTTTGGCTTCAGGCCTGCTGGCTGCAATGGAAAGTTGTGGCCATCCCTCTGCATGTCACTGCCCTGGGGCAGTGATATGCAAGACTAAGGTGCCAGCAAGAAAAACCAGGGAAAGCAAGTACCCTGGGGGTGTATAGGTTTTAAAAATTACAATTTATTCAGACATACAAGAAAGACATGCTGCATGCAGGCAGTCCCCTAAGGCACTACCCAGATGGTACAAGATGGCTTTATAACCTGTCAGTTACATCACAACTTTTGGGGGTGGGGACAAGGGATGTAGACAGCTGGCTGCAGACTCCTGAGAGTAAAACAATAGAGCTGAATGTGAGAGGGTCTGTTGGCAACATATAGGTATGTGAGGGGGTGTCACACGGAGGTGGGCCGAGACCTGTTTTCCCCTGCAGAGGAGGGCAGGACATGTTCCAGTGGAGCAAAGCTCAAGGTTCAATTTGGATGCCAGGAAGTACTTCCTGACAGTTAGGAGCCCGAGGGTATGGAATGGGCTTCCATGAGAGGTCGTTGAGGCCCCATTGGTGCGGGTGTTCAAGGATAGGCTGGACACGCACATGATAGGCATGTCGTGAGCAGAGCCAGCTGGAGCAGGGGGTCAGACTAGATGGCCCGGGAGGCCTCTTCTGACTCACTCTGTTTCTATGTTTCTATGATTAAGACAACACAACACGAAAAGAAGAACCTTCAGGACAGGCTAATGATTAGCATCCTAAGGCGTGGCTCCAAAGGAAGACCTTTCAGGATTGGCACATTAGCTTCTCTAAGGTAAACATGGGGAAAAAGACTTGCAAGACTGATCAAGAATCTCATTTAAGCCTAAAGTTGTTCTTAACATGTCAGGCCTTTAGCAACCATATTATGGCAGAGTGTTCGCCCATTTTGTCATGGCAGTGCCATGCCTTAGTTTCTCTGCTGGGCTTAGTGAAGCGTGCCAGCTGCCATTTTGAACATGCTTGTGGTAACTTACTTGTAGCAAACTTGTTACCTGGGGCTGTTTGAAAGGGAGGAGAACCCTCAAATAATCCATTGCTTGATTTCGAGTAATTGGAAGATTGGGTGAGAGCGCAAGCCCGGGCACTCATGGGTGCAGAGCAAAAAGGGCACCCACAAGCACCTGGCATGACACAACACCCCTGTGGCTCAGTTAAGCTGGAGTGGGCGCTGTGTCACATGAGCCTGCAGCCCGAGCTGGAAGTCAAGAGGCAACGGAGGCTTTTTGGTAGCTATTTAAAGTGTCTGTGGGGTTTCAACATACGTAAACCAAAATTAATCTTCTCTGGGGGCGTAGCAATTCCTTTGGGACCATGCTTGAAAGTACGGTCCTGGCCTGAAGGGGTAATTGAATGGACAGTGCATGGAATGCGGTGGTAAGATCCTGTGCTCTTTTTCTGCTCCTTGAAGTAATCCCAGCCCAACCGGCTGAAAAGAGCTTCCAGGGCATGGATAGTAGTGAGGAGGGGAGCTGAGGAAGCAAGAGCACAATGCTATGGAAAAATGTCCCATCACTCTGACAATTTCAGCAGCTGATAATGCTGGCCGGGAAGGCATTGGGAACTGTAGGGGTTTTTGCTGACTAAATGCATATGAGATTGTTCCCCAAGAATATGATGTTACAATAGATTTCTTTCAGCCCAAGGGCCGATTTCAATTTCAGAGAAGCTCGTCATTCCGGTCATGGGAAGGCTGAAAACCAAATGGATGAGGCCAAAACAAGGATACCAAAGTGGTTCATATTTCAGTTTAAAGGTCTTGCTGGCTGTCACTGGGTCTCACGATTCAACCTGTTGGAGGGGGGCAAAATCTGCACAAAAGCCACAGAGCCATCCAGTGGCTGATGGGAAAGAGGGTTGAGCAAGGGGAAGTGGCATAGTCCACGTCGGGTCCTGCTCAGAGCGTTTGACTGGGACCCAGAGTCTAGTCCTCACCCACTCAGGTCATGGGTCACTGGAAGTTTTGGGGCCACTGACTGACTCTCAGCCTAACCCACCTTACAGGGTTGTTGTGGGGATAGAATGGGGAGGCGGAGGACCATGTAAGTTGCCCTAGGTTTCTTGCAAGGGGGAAACAGTGGGTTAAAAGTGTATTATTATTATTATTATTAGCCATCTGGGGAACTGCAGAGGGCTAGATGAGACCCCATGAGGACCAGATCCCACCCTTCTGTTACAGCTATGCAAAAGCATGTCTGTGTTTTTCTGGAACACACTAGAAAGCTGGCAGGGAGGGACTACTGTTGTGTGCACAAGAGTGTCAGGCAACAAAATTTTGCAGCGTGCAGGGCTTCTGCTCGAGGTTCTTGTGAGGTAGCCTTTTGCTGCATACTCCATTCTATATACCCACCCACCTCTGACACGTAGCACTCTGTGGCCAATGAGCAGGGCTTTTTTTGTCATAGAACGCACCGGAACGGTGTTCCGGCACCTTTTTTTGACGGATTTTTCCAAGTGATTGTGAATCGTCCTGTTGGGCGTAGCAGGTCAGCGGCAAAAATCATTAACATAGTGCCTGCGGGCTGCTTGCGTGTCGGCGCTGATTGTGAGGGCGCTGCTCGGCTTGAGATGCTGCTCGACTTGGGATCAGTCGTGTGGTCGCGCGCTGAGTGCTTATTGCCGGCGGTGACCATTGTGTAAAAGTGTGACCCCAAGACGTGAGTTCTGGCACTTTTTTTTTTTTACAAAAAAAAAAGCACTGCCAATGAGTATCGCCAGTTCTCATTGGGCTGTTTGGGTGTTCCCTCCAACTTTAGGGATTTTTCTTTTAAAACTTTTTGTTTGTGTGTGTAGTTCTGCAAACTTCGGGATTTCCCAAGTCACCTGATGTTGTTATTGTCACAAACCGCCAAGTAGGCTCCAACTTCTGGTGATGCTATGAATGGCTGCCCTTCAAACTATCCCGTCCTTAGTCAGCTCTTACCAAGTCTGTTGGTATCTCTTGTTCAGGGTACTTTTAACATGTGTGGAAAATCCATGCCTCTAGCCCGCATGAAGTTTCCTTCCCAGAGAACTCAAAATCCCTTTCTCCCTTTTAGTTCAGCTCACCTGTGGCTTATATGTTCAGACCCATGACAGCCCTTGC